ATACTAATAAAATAAATACAAATAAGAATAAAATAAAATAAAATAATAAGAAATTATGAAAGTGGAGGAAACCCATGATAACAACGTCATTCGAGAATGGTCTAAAACAAAAATTCTATGTTAAAGTTAAACTTAATTGGTTAGAAATAGATATGGTTAGAAATTGATAACAGATTTGAACTTCCAACTGGGAAGACATACTATTACAAATATTGAGGATTTTGTCTCAAAACTTCCAAATTTGTAATGTGTCAAGATAATAAATGATAACTTAATAAATATAATAAAGTGGAAGTGAGGATATCAGATGGAAGTTATATAATTAATTAAATAATTAATTATATTTATTTTGTTCTAATAATTATTAAGGAAGTTGAATGATAAAGTATTTATTCAATACTAAAGATGATAAAGAGAAGTTATAAAGACATATTATTTAAGAATGTTATAAAGATAAAATAATAAGGATAATATGATGAAGTTATGAATATATAAGGAAGCTTGGAAGTTAAGAGATATAATATTGAAATAGATATATTATGATTAAAGTGAATAAATATTAGTTTGTTAATTCTATCTAAAAACTAACTGGTGCCTTCTAAAATTCAAAAAATAATAAACTGAAAGTCTTGTATCAATGGGAAGGACTATAAACTCCTTAAAAGAACTGTTGAGTAGATGTTAACAATAAAACCTGTGACAATATTTCAAGAGTATTGAATTATTACAACTCATTTTGAGATAAAGTTACTCATCGCAACACATACAAAAATTTATATATGGAAATCTTGATTTGTATTCACCATTTACAATACCTTCCAAACATAAACTTTCCAAATTAAAATATCTACTTCTTTACAATATACCCACCTAGGTACAATTTATATTATAGAAAGGTGAGGTGTAATATATCCTAGATATTGTATGTGACATATTACAGTACTTTTAGCAGGTTGGTGTATATGACATTGTGACTATACTTGTATACAAAATTATTTTGAAATCCTGAAATTGCAATCTTGAAAAAAAAAAATTGAAATAGTTTTTCATAGAAGACAAAATTATTTTACTTAAAATTCAAAATTTTTTGATTACCCAGATTTATTCTTTGATTGAATATACACATAACTGGGTACTTTTTTTTACTTCCATATATAGAATAGATTCTGCATAAATCTCAAAAAGTCGAAATATCTCAAAAATCCAAAATCAATTTTGGAAACATGTATAATTGTGACACATGATGACACATATGACAAAATAATTTTTTAATTATTTTTTCATTATTTTTTAAAAAAATCTTATTCTGGTTGATTAAATATAAAAATAAATACACAAATTTATTTTTTTTAATTAAAAAAAAAAATTTTTATCTTATGTATTATAAGCAAATAGAAAATATCTAAAATATGTAAAGAATACAATGAAAAATATAATTGTAATGATGAGTGGTGCAAACCATGCATCTCAAAACATTTTAAAAATTATTTTGATAAATGGACAAGTAGAAATGATACAATTGATAAACTTATTCAAGATACTTAACTAAATGCTAATTATTATAAAGTAATCGAATGGATGCCTCATGATAAATTTCAAGACATTAAATAAATAGCAAAAGGTGATTATAGTACTATTTATTCATTCGAATAATGTTTTCTAATTCTTTTGAAACAGGGTGATTGATATTTCAATATGTTAGAGTGAGCAGTAAAAGTTTTCTCATTTTTAATTCTTTAATGATTATGTTATAGTCATCTTTAGGAGTTCAGTGAAATTTTGTGATAATTTATTAAAAAATTTTAGAGTCATTTTTTTTGTGAATTTGGTATAAAAAAAAAAATAAATATTTCTTTTAGATTATCCGTTGAGACAACTTATGTACATGAGTTTCACTAATTTTGGTGGGACAATTTTGTTTGGGAGATTATTTTATCTATATGAAATTACCTCAAAAATTAGGGATTAGACTCTTTACAAAATTATGAACTGTATATTCAGGATCCTTTCTCAGCTAAGAATCGAATTTTGTTTATTACCATTTTTCAATGAGAAAATAAAACTATAATTAAAGGATTTTATCTTCATCGTATCATCTTTATCATTAAAGAGTTCAATGAAAATTTTTTTTTGGGTAATTTGTCAAATCACCCCTTTTTTTTAATGATCAAAATATCATAATTTATAAACAATTTCTTTGGAAATAATAGAAAAAAAAATCCATTACAACCATAATCTTTCAAGTGAATTAGTCTCAAATATTCTTATTTATTTATTATAAATGCAATTTCTTATTTTTTTTGGAAGTACCAAGTTCAATATTGCAATATTGAATCCATATTGTGGATTCTAATATTATCCTTCAAAAAAAGACAAATTATTTATTTTGAAGTTATCTGAATTGAAAAATTAGAACACTGGATAGTGTTGACATAAAGTCAACAAGTTAATCTATTTCTTTGTGATGAAGAATTTCTGAAATTTTGAATGGCTCATATACTGTATAATAGAAAAAAAAGAGAATCTCTCCAACGTAATGTTTACTGGTTGATACAATGACATTAGTTAAATTACATTCCTTTTATTAATATTCTGCTTAAAGTATCATTCATGATCTCTTTTTTTTCAGCTTAACAATATTTAAAAATAGTTCTTTACAAGTTCAGAACTTGTGTTTATGATGCAAATATTGATCTTTCATTATTTTTCTTTCACCTTTAACTGAAAATATTAAACATTTGTGTTGTGTTCCTGATCATATCTCACTTTGCTGTTGGATAGTGAAAATAAGAAAAGAAAAAAATTAAAAACATTGTTGTAGACATTTTTTGAAGATCGATCAACTCTTTCTATCTAAATTTCCATAAATAAATAATATGGGAAAAAAGAAAAAGGCGACAAATTCTGCTCGCGGTTTTGCAACCACAAGTACCCCATCTAAAGCAAAAAATGTAACTCCAAGTGAACTCATTGATAAAGAAAATCCAAAAAAAGCAAAAATTGGTTCGGAGAATACTTCTACAAAAATAGTAACGGATTCAACTGAAGATATTGAGTCGCAAAGATATATTGAAAAATTACGTGACTTGAATTCAATTAAAGTTGAAGCTTATTTTGAAGAAACAGAAAAGATAAAGAATAGGGTTGATAAGTTACCCGTCTTGAAACTTGATGCTAATATTGAACAAGCAGTTATTAAACATATTAAAAAAATTGGATATCAAGAACAAGGTCAGCAATTTTTTAAATTTTTAAAAAAGTTTCAAATTAAAGAAGATTTTTTTTTTGTCAAATTTACAATATTTTTTTTTTACATAGTAAATGATAAAATCGATAGTAAAGTTGATCGAGAACAAGTTCTCGTAAAATTAGATATTATATATTTAATTTTGAAGCGACTTGGATTTTTAAAACGTGATGTTGAAACATGTATAAGGAAAATTTGTAGTTTGGAAGTACAATCTGCCTTGGATTGGGTATTTTTAATATTTTAATATTTTATATATTGTAATTTATTAATTTATTTTTTATTTTTTTATTTAATTTTATTTTCTCAAAGTTATTTTTATTAAAAATATATTTTTTTTCTTTCAATTTATTTTTTTAATCAAGTTATGTATAAATGTCTCTTCTGAATCCTTACCCATTGGTTTTGCAGATAAATTATATCATGAAGATGGTAATTTGAATGAGTGTTTAAATAATTTTTATTTTTTTTTGTTATACTAAATATATTTCTTTTACTTTTTTTTTTTTTAGAAACTGACATAACTTTTGTTCGTACAAGTTCTTCTCTGCAGACACCAGTTGGAAAGACTGAACCACTAACTCAAAATGTGCAAACACAAAATCAAAATGTGTCAACTCAAAATGAAAAGGTAATAATCGAAACACCATAATTTAAAAATAAGGCAAAATAATCAAATAAATTTTATCGCTTATAGACTAATCTCCCAAATAGAGATGTTCTTCGATCAACAAAATCTACAAAATCTGCAATGCTGGATGAAAAATTAAAATCATTAACACTAAATGCACTTGAAAATATTGTATGTGATATATTTTTTTTTTATATTCAATTTGTTATTTTATTTTATTTCTTTTCATTTAGTTTATTAAATTTATTAATTGATGTATTTTAGAATTCTGATTCTGAGGAAGAAAATGATCCTAACATGAAATATGCAATATTGAAATATGAATTGATGGGGAAATCAGCAATTTTGAAAAAATTAGAAAAGTCTAAAAACAACAAAAACAATAATACTAAATGTGATTTAATATTAAATCAAATCAATAAACTTAATTCACAAATCAAATTAATTGAGCAAGATTATTTATTTCGTAAAAAGATCGCTGATAATATATACAATAAAAAAATAAAAAACTCTGATTTTAAAGAATTTGATATAGACTCTGATGATGAGGAGGAAGAAGGAATTGAGAAAAAGGAAGATAAAGATGCTATTGATGATCATGAGAATTTCCTTGGTTTTTCAATCAAAGATGAAGAAGATGGAGATTTATTTGGTGGATTATTGGATATTCCAATTTCTACTACTGATGATAATAATAATATTAATTTAGTGGAAGTGGAAACAACGGATAAAGCGAATAATACTTCTTGCACTCTCCGAGATATGCCAGTTCCTCCTTCTTGGACCGGTAAATTGCCCAAAGATATATTACAAGAATTCTGTCGGAAGATAGATTCTAAAGTACTTGTTACTTTTAGCAAAGAACCAACAATTGGTGGAAATTCTATTATGAAAGCAAAAGTAAATATTTCTTGGAGTAATGGAAAATCAGATGCTTTTATTATGAAAGATGAAGGATGTCGTACATTTGAAGAAGCTAAAAATTATGTTTCTGTAAGTTATCACTAAATGAATTTTTTAAAAAGATTTATATTTTATCTAATTTTTTATTTATTAATAGACATTAGCATTGTTTGAATTGACAAACCTTCCCTTATATATGGCATTTCCACCTTCATATAGTGATTTATGGAAAGAATTAATTCAGGCTAAAGTAATATAACATTTTTTATCCTTTCATTTTTATTTATTTTTTATGTTTCAAATATAATAATTTATTATTTTTAAAAATATATTAGAATATAGCTGCTAATAAAAACATGATTGCAACAGAAGAAGAGCGAATGAAGTTTTTATTATCTGTTGTTGATAATAAAGTTAAAGAAGTAATGGTAAATATTGTTTATTGTTTTTTTTAAAAAAAAATGCATATATATGTGTGTATATATATATTTATATTTATATTAATCAAGTTAGGTAATCTTTTTTTTATAGAAGATTCAAGAAGTCACGAAAAATGATACGATTTCGCAAGAGTCGAATATGATGCCTACTAAAATTGTGCCAATTTCTAAAGATACTAAAATTTCGGATGAAGGAAAAGCTATTAAAAAAGCATTTGAAAATAGACAAACAAGCAAGCCTTATAAGGATTTACTAGTAAATATTTCATTTTTTTTCTTTCTTTATTTCTATATTCATCATTAATAATAATCACTATTTAAGAATGTGCGTAAACAACTACCGATGTATTCCTATCGAGAAGAATTGTTGAAAGAATTAAATCAAAATCAAGTTGTTATTGTTTCTGGAGAAACTGGATGGTGAATATTTTTTTTAAAATATTTTGGTTAATTAAAAATCATTTTCTATATTGATCTCTGAACATTTTCGTTTATAATATTACAGTGGTAAAAGTACACAAGTACCACAATTCATTGCTGAACATATGATTATGAATGAAGTCGGGGATCATTGTAATATCTTATGTACTCAGGTAGATGAATTTAAAAAAATTAAAGACGTTATTGAAATTATTGATATTTAACTAATTCATTTCAATGCTGTAGCCAAGAAGAATTTCAGCAATTTCAATTGCTCATCGCGTCTCACTCGAAAGTAAGAATTAGAATACTTATTTTTATAAATAAATAATATGATGTTAAAAAATACGTTGTTTTTTTGTTTTTTTAAAAAAAAATAAAAGTGGGAGATGCACCAGGAACTACTGGTTCAACAAAATCTTTGGTTGGTTATCAAATTCGATTAGAGTCGCGTATATCACGTTCTAATGTGATGACATTTTGTACAAACGTAAGAATATTTTTTTATATTAATTTTTATATATATGAAATTTATTACATTGGTCTCTAAACTTTAGTTTTCGTAATTTATCATTTTTTATTATTTTTTTAGGGTATATTGCTTCGAAGACTTGAGGGTGATGGATTATTAAATGGTGTTAGTCACATAATTGTTGATGAAGTTCATGAGAGAACACTTGAAATTGATTTCTTATTGATAATTCTTAAGAATCTATTACAAAAACGACACGACTTAAAGTTAGTTCATTTTATTTAAGTTTTTTTGATATATCAATATATATATTTAATATAAAATTTCTTAAATATATTTAATAGAGTAATTTTGATGAGTGCAACAATTGAAGCAAAGAAATTATCATCGCATTTTAGTGGATGTCCTCTTGTTGAAGTTCCTGGGCGTACATTCCCTGTAGCAATCAAATATCTTGAAGATGTTATAGAGGAAACAGGTTTTACATATTTATATTATTTTTCTTCTCTTGTATGTATATCTTCCTAAATTTTTATGTTTATATTTTATTTATTTTACATTTAGAATATATGATCAATGAAGGCGATGAATATGCAAGAAAGGTTTATAGGAAAATAAAAGGTATTAATTGAATAAGAATTTGATTTGTTATTATTATTTTATTATTTTTTAACACACACGATAAATTAGATGAAGGGACGATAACCATAGGGAGAGGTGATAGTTTACAAAAACTTAATTATGAATTAGAAGAAGATCGTGACATGAATGATGATTTTGAATTTCCTGATGAAGAATTATTTTCATCATATTCACAACGTACTCGTTCAGTCTTGAGAAGAATCGATCATGAAAAAATAAATTATGATCTTATTTTAAGTCTCCTCAGATATATTTGTATATCAAAAGATGATAAGAGTTTGAATACTGACATTCCTCCTGACGGAGCAATATTAGTATTCTTGCCTGGTATGCCTGAAATTATAAAATTATATGATTTATTAATGTGTGATAGGCATTTCGAAGATGAAACACGCTTTTTGGTGTTTCCATTACATTCTTTAATATCTTCGGAGAATCAAGGAAGAGTATTCGAAATTCCACCAAAAGGTGTAAGGAAAATTGTTTTGGCTACAAATATTGCAGAAACTGGAATTACGATTTCCGATGTGACGGTAGTTATTGATACTGGAAAAGTAAATTTAGTTAGGTGAATGTTATATATTTTATTATTATTATTATTATTAATAATTTTTTTATTGATTATCTTTTAATTATGTTATGAAAATTATTATTATTATTATTATTATTATTATTTACAGATATAATAAACAGAAAAGAATTACTACTTTAGAAGAAACATTTGTGGCAAAAGCGAATGCTCGTCAACGTCGAGGTAGAGCTGGTAGAATTCGAGAAGGAATATGTTTTCATTTGTTCACAAAATGGAAACATGACTATAATGTGATTACAACTCTTCATTTATCTGTCTGTGTTTATCTGTTATTAATTTATAAAAAAAGATTAAATTATATTTTTTAAAAAAAAAGATGTTAGATTATGAACCTCCAGAAATATTAAGATTACCTTTACAAGAATTGTGTCTCAAAATTAAAATATGTGGAATGGGTGATATTAATGATGTATTAACGATGGCAATAGATCCTCCAACACCACAAGCGATTGAAGATGCTATTTCATCTTTGCAAGAGGTAACTATATAATAATTATTATTATTATTATTATTATTATTATTTTTATTATTATTATTTTTGTAAAAATTATATCAATTATCAATTATAATAAAAATATATTTAATTAAAAAATATACGTTTTAAGGTTCAAGCGCTTACTCCAGAACAACAACTTACACCTCTCGGAATCCACCTTTCGCATATCCCAGTTGACGTACATATAGGGAAAATGTTATTATTTGGAGCCATATTTCGTTGTCTTGATCCAATATTAACGATAGCTGCTATGTTAAGTTACAAAAGTCCATTTATTACACCTTTTGGTAAAGAACCGGAATTTAATGCAGTAAGGAAGAAATTTGAAAATCATAATTCTGACTTATTAACGATGTATAAAGCATATTGTGAGTGGAAATCAAATTATGGGAAATCTTCTTCAATAATGGGAGAATTTTGTCAAAAGAATTTTCTGAGTGATCAAAATTTACGAATGATTGACGATTTGAAAAAACAATATTTATCTTTATTGGTAAATATTGGATTTGTACATATTAATGATAGAATGAAAGTGGAATTAAGCAGGCAAGTAACATATAATTTTTCTTTGCCACAAAAAAAGATGCTTTGATTTATAATTATAATTATTTACAAAATTTATTTTGTATTTTATAGAAGTAGTTATCAAAATAAACGCTCGTTATGTATCGTTCCAGAATCTTATAATGTAAATTCAACTTCTACTCCAATTATTAATGCTGCCATAGTTGCAGGATTATACCCTAAAGTGATACATCGCGACTTACAAATGCAACAATTTATAAATCGTGATCAAAAAACTGTTTATATACATCCATCTTCGGTAAACTATCCTCTTCAAAATGCAAAGAAACCAAACAAAGATTGGTTTGTATATAATACAATGATACAAACTAAAAAATTATATGTTAGAGATACCAGTTTAGTGGAAGTTGTGGATCTAGTATTATTTGGAAGAGAAACTGAAGTGAAGGTATGTAAAATTAAAAAAAATTTATTGATTTTATTTTTTTTCTAATATTTATAATTTTTAAAACTTAATTTTTTTTTTAACTTCAAGCATGAAATCAAACTTTTGACAATCGATAAATGGATAAAATTACAATGTTTCGCCAAGACTGCAACACTATTAAAATATTTAAGAGAGCAATTGGTATGTATTTGAAAATTTTACAAATCATTTTGTTGAAACCTTTTTTTTTTCAACATTAAATTTTATTTTTCTTTTTTAAATAACAGAATAAAATTCTTAAATATAAAATCGACCATCCTGAAGCTGAACTTGAACAAGAACAAAAAGAATGGTTAAATTTAATATTAGGAGTTATAAAGAGTTGTGAAATTGATTTTTCTCCTGGTCGTGTATCAGTTTAATATTTATAAGATTTATAGCTTAATAGATTAGCGTTTAGATTAATAAGGATAATATGACGTGCTTGATGTTACATTAATTTAGTTGTAAATTAAAAGACAGATATTTGTTAATAAATGTTAATTCATAAAGATTGATTAATTTATTTTAATACAACATGGAAATTTGTTAATTGAATAATTGATTTACAAAATAATTTATATTTTCCTAATTTCTGGGAGAAATTATGACTGGTTGAATGTAGCTAATAACTTGATTGGTTAATATTAAAATATGTGATTTTTAATTGTAAACAACCTTATTAAACCGCGATTATTTTTTCAAGCAACTCAAAGAAACAACAGCTTTTATTACTTTATTTTTTTAATATGGATGTTAAAAAACTTCTATTAAAAGAGAATGCAAGTCTAGAACTTAAAGAAGTTGCTAGACATATCATTAAGTCAAAGAAATGTGTCGTAATTACCGGTGCCGGGATCTCAGTTAGTGGCGGAATTCCGGTATTTATATGCAATTCAATATGAAATTATATTTTAACGCGTTTTTTAAAGTATATATTGTATTTAAGTTTTTTGGGGGAATCTTTTTCCATATATAGGATTTCCGAAGCAAAGACGGGGGCCTATACGAAATGGTCAAGAAGCAGTTTCCCGGGACAATTTGTGGAAAAGACCTTTTCGATAATGAACTCATTAAGAGCAATGAGGCTCTTAAGGCATTTAACGTATTTATGGGCACCCTTAAGGAATTAATAGGGAGCGCCGTCCCCACGCCAACTCACGTGTTCTTAAAGAAGTTTGCTGAAATGAATAAGCTAACCCGAATATACACCCAGAACATTGATGACCTGGAACAGAGAATCGGGTTAAATGCCGACTGGAAAATTGAAAAGGTTAGCAAATGTGCGACCCAGGTGGTTCAACTGCATGGAACCATGTCTCGCCTCAAGTGCTGTCGTTGCACCAAGGAGTACCCATTCACGACCGAATATTGTGGAATCTTTAAAAGTGGGGAAGCACCGTTGTGTCCAAATTGTGAAAGCCGAGGTAAAAAAGCATCAAAAAAAAAAATTATGAAATAAAAATTAAGAGTAAATTTAATACATTACATTATATTATTGACTTCGCACTAAATATCATGAAATGTGTGAGGTATATAAATAAGATAAATTATATATTAATCTATGTTTCATTTCCTTTTTTCTATTAGAAGAGACTCGAGTTAAACAAGGAAGGCGGCCACATCCAGTCGGGAAGCTCATCCCAATGGTGCTTCTCTATGGAGACGAGCACCCTAATGGAGTTGAGATTGGTCAACTTTCCGCACATGACCAATCCCGTGCCGACTGCCTCTTGATAATGGGTACTTCACTAAAGATCCCCGGGGTGAAGGCCCTCATTAAAAATTTTGCAAGAGCCGTGCATGATCGCAATGGACATGTCATAATGGTTAATAAATCTGATGTAATACGAAGAGAGTGGAATGGTATTATTGATTATCAGGTTGAAGGGGACTGTGATGAATGGATAAAAATTGTAGAAGGGGAATTAGCTGAGGTCCGACCACGAAGGAAAAGCAAGAAGAGCGAAGGGGAATAAGAGCCATCCGCTTCATCTACCTCAAGTAAGAGGGTGCTAAATCCTTCAGACGAAGAATAAAAATTCCAAGAGAACACCTAGGCCAAATTGGCGAGTGTACTTGTCAAAAACACAAGAACGAAATGTCAGGATATCCATGGAATGTCAAATCGAAGCAAGGTTTAGATTGTCAGTCTGGAGGATTTAGATTGGTCATCGGGCTGCGATTCTTAAACTCGATTCTTGTTCTTGATTCATTAAGAGTTGGCATGGCGATCTTGGATTTTGAACTATCATCGGCTGATTAAATCTGTAGTATCATACCAACTATCAAAATTCATAAACTCGGGATAAACTCAAAGAGATGAAACTGAAAATAAATACGAGACTCAACTAGTGGGCTAAAAGATGTTTCGAATAATCTCTATATAAAACGAATTGATTGGTGAATAATTGGCAATGCATACGGTGCATATAATTTGGCTCCATTCGATTTGTCATATAAAATTTGATACTTTAGACGAATCTCATTGTGAGTTGTTATACAATGCTGATCAAAATTACTTGATCTAATTTTTTTTTTTTGGAATCGCATACTTAGATAAAAATATAAAAAAATGAGTATTCTTAATTTATATATTTATAATAAAAAAAAATAAAATATTATGCATTTTTTAGGATATTTAAATGAAATAGGAGTTCTTTAACGTATAGATTTCAAAAGGTTTGAAGGTTAACACTTAAAACATAAGTATTTATTATTTGATAGATTAATTAATAATCTTAGTTTTATATTATATTTATATTAAGTATAAACATGTATATTTATTAATGTATTTTTAAATTATCGTAGTATAGCTCAATATTATTCCTTTTTCGGTGAAGTCACGGCACGAAATGCTTTCGTCCAATTGTTAACAATACTCTTTTTCCCGTGACCCGAAATGGAAAAAAAGGTCGATTTTTTAATCTTTCGTACGATTTTTTATTTCTTTATTTTTTCGATCTACAAAATTTTTAAATGAAGTATGATTAATTTGTAAACAGTAAAAAAAGAATACACCAGCAATAATAATTAAAGTTTATGGTTATCTTCAAAATATAAATATAATTTTACCAAATAATAATTACTCCTCGATTTTCATGTGTATTCGTAATTTTCTTATTTCTTTATTTTTTTTTTTGATATACCTAATTTTTAAACGAAGTACGAAGGATTAATATTTTTTTAAAAAAATAAAATTTCATTTTTAACGTGCCAAGCTATTCAAAAGCATCTCCATTATCGTTACTACCATTATTATCAAAATAAAATTTAAAAGTTGTTATAAATTACAATAGATCTTTTTTGGCTTTTATATTGAAATTCCATCATTTATTTTCAAAAAAGAAAAAGGTAAAGAAAAAAAAATAGTAAAACAAAAATCCTTAATAAAAATAATACTAAATAATACCAAAGAAAATAAAAAATGTACTATAAAATGTATCTTGGATGTGATTAATTTTGAGCTGGAGGAATTGCATTCATTATAACATCATATAATTCATCAGCCACATTGGAATTAAATAACTAAAGAAAATATGATAAATACAGTACAATAAAAATAAATATATAATAAATATAATAAAAATATAATAAAAATATAATTTATACATAATAAAAAATATATGAATTTAAATAAAAATTTAAAATTAGACATCCAAATCATTCATCGTCCATCACCACCGTCTAATTGAAAATGAATATAATAAAATATATAATTGATACTTACTATCATTTATTTCATAAAAGGATTTTGTTAATTCTTCAAGTTTCTTTTCGAAATTTTCATCATTTTTAGGTTTTGGAAGATTTGAAAAATTGAGAAGTCGACTGGTATAAATTGCTTTTATATAATTCATCGGAGTTGTAGTTGTATTAGTTTTAATTTGAATTGTAATTTCATTATTATCATCGTTATAATAATAAACATAATCATCCCAATATTTATTCAACTCTTTCCATAATTCATCAAAAGTGAGTCGATGTGTAATTCGGGAATCCCAACATCTCGTGTAATTAATTTAGGTGTGTGAAATGGGAATTTTTGGAATCTTTATCATGTGACACATCGTGAGAATTCCAGTGATGATTTCAATAAGCAAATGAATAAACATCAGCAGCCTTTGTATATTCTTCCCCAATTAAAACTTCAGGAGCTATATAGGATAATACTCCAGAAATGATATTACTTTTTAAAATATTTCCGGGATGAAATCATTTTAATAATTTTTTTTTATTAATTTCTAGTTGCCCGGTGACTTTTGATACCCCACTGTACGGAGATAACCAAAAACAACCATAAACTTTAATTATTATTTTGCAAATTAATATAAATATTTTTTTAACAAAAATAATAATTACTCACAAATTTCAATCTTTTCATGTATATTCTAACCAACGTTCTGAAAAAAAAAAATAATAATTTTATTATTTATTTACCTTTTTCGATCTACCTAATATGATTTCTGGAAGAGGAGTTATATTTACAGTGTATTAATTTTTGGATTATCACAAGATCACGCTTAAATGGGTACTAAAAAATACTATAAATAATACCTATATATGTATCTCTTTCAAAGATTGTTAGGGTTAGGCAAAAATAAAATTCATGTGAATTAGGGTTTATGAAACTATTATTTTTTTTTATTATTCAGATTGAAAGAACCACTCTAATTCTAGAAGGTAACGTTAAATATGTTGATTATTGACTATTCGATTGGATTGTTTTTATTATTTATTCAACGGATTAAAATAGATTAAATTCTTTCAAAAGGAATCTTACCTCATTACGTTTATGTACAGATGTGTCTCGGTTGTAACAAAGGTAACGATATAGATTTCACGTGCCATTATAAACTGATTATCCACGCCAGAAGGAAACAACATAGAAGAGTAATGCATGATTTTATTCAAGCTATCGGAGTTAACTAATCCTTTTCCCACATTATTTCTAGAATGTTCGTTTCGACCCAAGAAGCTCTTAAGGCTATCTTTCCACAAGCCTCAAATGAAATTATTGAAAGTATGATAAACAACTTGATAAGGTTGAAAATTTTGATCCTGACTCATTATTTCTCCAAATCATAATTACATTGTACGTATACACGTTGCCCAAATAATTTGGAATTTTGGGATTTGGTACTATATAGCATTTGGGATTTTGAAAAATAATTTGATAACACGTAAACTTCATCCCAATATATTTTATCAACCTAATCGGTTACTTAATAAGGTCGTAGTACACAAAAGCGATTTTAGAAAGGATAATTGATTTTTTTTTTTTAATTCTTTTCAAGATTAAAATGTATGCAAAGCAACACAATTTTATATTAGGAAAATTGATTCTCTATGAGCAATAGTTTTTTGTTATTAGAATCCATGTATGCATAATTTTAAAAATGCTGATCGCGCCGATCACTTAATAAACTTTTTTTAATTAATTAAAAAAAGGCAAAATCTCATTTAATATAGTATATATTGATATATCCAGTAAAAAAAGTATATACTGTATATATAAAAAAATTATCTGCGAAACCTCCCTAATGCATAATGCATCATGAAAAAATAACCGTTCGCTTTGATATTATTTCATTACAAACATTGGAAACGTTATAAAAGTTAGGAAGGTGTTTTGAATGAAGAATAATATGATAATAAAGAAATGAATAATGAACGAATGAATTTTTAACAAAAAAAAAAAGAATTGGAAAAAAGGTTAACACACACGCGCGCTCTGTGAATTTTGTACATTCTGTATACTCAATAAGGATAAAAGTGTGCTCATTACTTTAGTAAGAATTAAAAGAATACGTAGTTAAAATTAGATATTCTTATTAAAAATCCCAAAGTTGGAAAAAAGTATTGCATTATGCATAACAAACAAAACTATTACAAATTAAAATCCCATCCTAAAATAGATTAAACTTAGAAAAAAGGATTAAATTCTTTTTTTGTTTCTGAAGGAAATTCTATGTATTTTTTTGGGTGTACATGACTTTTTTTTTTTTAATAAACAATAAAAATAATTCGAAATTTTATTTATTTATTATTAAAAAAAAAGAAATTAAATAAAGAAATAAAAAACAAATGAGAGATACGATGTAAATAAATAATAATAATATAAATAAATAATATAAATAATAAAAATAATCAAATAAGTAAAAAAATGGTTTAACGAATGAAAAAAAAAATTGTTTGTAATAAATGGAAGACAACATTATCTTAATACATTTCATCGTTGTTCAAATGAGAATATCATTTATAACACAACACAAATTCTAATATTATAATATTTATTACTTTTAAAAAGTTCCAACGAAGGAAAAACCAACTTCATTTGCTCTTACCCTTTTGACACTACATAAAATCTACGCGCATATATATATACATATGTGTATGTGTAATATATATATGTATACGCCAAGTACCTCATTTTATATAATTTATATTTAAACACATATTTTCAGTTATATGATATATAATTGTTTTTTTTCCATTACTTTTTGTCTCCGTATTCACTTTTTATTTTTTTATTTTTTATAATATCTCTTGCTTATCCCTTGCCTTGTCCTATTGTCCTTGCGCTCTTGTCTAGCTCTTATTTTTGCCTTCTTGTTTTTTTTTGCGCTCTTAACTTGACCTTTTGTCTTTGTTTTGTTATTAAATTTAAATTTCTTCTCAGGAAATTCATATCAATATACAATAAATACAATAAATACAATAAATTCAATAAATACACGGATATAATAGAATTACAATTAAAAAATATATAATAATGGGATATTTTATATTCTGCGATGTGTGTAAAATTAAACCACTTAAAACAGATAAAAAAACATTAGAACCTATTAATAAGTTTTGTTCAGAGAATTGTAGAAAAGCAGCATTTTCACGTGGAATGGTTGATAAAAGTAAATGTCGTTATTGTGGTAGTAATCCAAGATTAACATTGACTAATGGAAGGAAAGTTGATTATTGTGGAGTGAATTGTAAAAAGGAAGCAGAAAATCAAAAAAGTCATCATAATAAAGACTTATCATCCGATGCTTATAATAATTCATCAAAAAGTAATAATAATAATAATTTATTAAATAATAATAATAATAATAATCGATCTAAAAGTAATAAAAATAATAATCGAAAAACTTTTTCACAACAACAAAATTCGAGATCAATACCATCAACACCATTAATTCAATGTACTGATGATCATTCTTCAAATTCTCTTCTGTCAATACATTCTTCTTCATCAAAACGAAGTTCAACATTTCCACAAACTAAAAATAATAATAATTCCCGACCATCAACACCATTAATTCAATGGAATGATGATCATTCATCAAATTCTCTCTCACCATCATCATTATCATCGAAACGAAATTCAACACTTCCACCACATAAAAATAATTCACGACCGTCTTCACCATTTCAATATACTAATGATTCTTTACTATCAACTCATCATTCATCTTCTTCATCATCGAAACGAAGTTCAACACTTCCATCATCTCAATATACTAATGATTCTCTATTATCAGCGCATTCTTCTTCGAAGCGAAGTTCAACACTTCCGCCAACCAAAAATAATAATTCTCGACCGTCCACACCGTTAATTGAATATGATAATTCTTTCTTATCATCAAAACGAATATCAACACTTCCACCAACCAAAAATAATAATTCTCGATCATCTACACCGTTAATTGAATATGATAATTCTTTCCTATCATCAAAACGAATATCAACACTTCCGCCAACCAAAAATAATAATTCTCGACCATCTACACCGTTAATTGATATTGATAATTCTTTCCTACCATCATCATCAACGAAACGAATATCAACACTTCCATCACCTAAAAATAATCGACGTCCATCAGCCCCATTAATTGAATGTGATAATTTATCATCATCATCTTCTTCCCTATTGTCAAAACGAAATTCAGCACTTCCACCAACTAATAATAACAATAATAATAATAATAATAATAATAATTCTCGATCATCAATCCCATTAATCCAATGTGAAAATTCCTCTTCTTCATTGTTATTATCACCATCATCATCATCAAAACGAAATTCAACACTTCCCCCATCTAAAAATAGTAAAAACAAACCATCATCAATACCATTAATTCAATGTACTAGTGATAATTCACCATCACCATCAAATTCATTATCAATACGTTTATCATCATCAAAACGAAGTTCAACACTTTCATCATCATCATCATCGTCATCATCATCATCATTACCAACTACACCGACCCGATTAAAAACAAAGAAAAGTAATAGTAGTATTAATAGTAACGTAAGTAGTGGTGGATATAGTAATCATAGTATTAATAGTAACGTAAGTAGTGGTGGTGGTGGATATAATAATTCACGTTCAATTACGTCAGCCCCATCACTTTCATCATCAAATAATAATAATAATCATCATCATAATATCCATCATAATAACTATCATAATAATAATAATAATAATAATAATAATAATAATAATAATAATAATAATAATAATAATAATAATAATAATAAT